ACTCCATTATTACTATAAATTTCGTTTGGCAGAAATATAATATGAACTTCAAGTTCAATTGCGTGGTTTCAGATAATGAAAATATTAATATTTCAAATATTTTACGGCATTAATAAATTTATGCTCATATCTCCCCCTAATGCCGTTAAATATTGTCGCACAATACGTACCAAATTATAAATTGACCCCCTATAATGGCCTCTAGGTATTAAAAATCTGACGGAGTATCATAGCATACCTAGTTTATAATATTGGCCCATAAAGGTACGAATTGGTGGTGATATAAGATTGTGCATAATAATAAATCGCAGATGGGAAATGTTCAATTTTCCACGCATCATTTTGGGAAAAATTTATGATAAATAATTATCCAATATATAAGTTGAGCATCAAAATATAATAAATCAATTTTATGTGAACACTATATACTTTAGGCACTACATATGTTATAACTCTTCAGGAGTATAACAATTGAATTATGAGATATTTCATACATTTCATAATACCAATATATATAATTTAATAAACTATATCAATATTGGTCTTAAAATGAAGCCCTTATTACCCCAAGTATTATGATATTATCAAAAATTAATTTCACCAATGCTTGCTTTAAATATGTAACAAACAATGATTCTAGTATAGAATAGATCATGTATTAAATAATATTGTCTTTATTGAAGAATCATTAGCATGCATTTGGGGGTGTTAGTTTCGTGGGCTTTCAACTTGCAAGAAATTGACAAATAGTATTTGAATGCATACCAAATGATAATTTAATATTATTAGATATTAATGCAATGAACCACTTTGTCAACTTGCCGACACCAAAACCATTTATTTTAGTTGTATCCTTTCTTTGACTTATTATTTTTATTTATCTGTCACAACACATATGATAAATAATTATTTGTGACTCACCACACAGACAAAGCAACTTCAGCGTCCTTCCAATGCCCATCGAAGAATACCATAATGACAAAATCATAAAATAACATACCTCCAACTACATCATGACAATGGGTGCTAGAGAGTGTCTAACAAAATTTCACAAGTTATGACATGCCGTGAGCATGAACCCAGGCCACTCCTTGCTATGCCACCACTATGAACCCCCAAGAGGGGTCCAACAATTCTACTCGGCCATAAGCAAAAGATTTCAATTGCTCGGGCTATTCTTATGCCTATTTTGTTGTTGGATGAAGCTAGCTCGTCGATGGAGTCCGACTCGAATCAAATACATGAAGCTCTAGATACTCTGTTTATGTGAAATAAGATCACCATTCTTATTTCACACAGAACAGCTATGAGGAGCTCTTTTTATTTTCTACCTTCTCACTTTTCATTTTTCATTTTGGGAAACAAAAGATTACTTTTGTTTAAATGGTTCTTGAATATTGTGTGTATCAATTGAAGCATATTATGGGCTGAAAAGAAAATAATTGAAATGGCCGAAGGTAGAACATGAAGTTCATAAGCTCCCCATGAGTGATAGGAAAAATTGTTTGGAGAAAATAACGATTTGTAATATTCTAATTTCTGATACAGAAGATCGTCTATAAGTCGCAACTGTAGAGCATACTCTCGTTATATTACAAATCGAGCTCTAAAGGGTAGAGACTCGTGCTGATAACGTGTTATAAAACTAGAGAGAAAAGAGAGAATATATAGAATGCTTTCTCTTGGTTGTATTTTCATTATAACTGAAGCTCCTATTTATAGGAAAACTTCTGATGGCACAATCGTAATAATACAATTATATCAGGGGCAAAATAGTCATTTACATATATTATCTTATTCTCCTCCTCATGCACAATATTATAACAACAATAATGTCAATTGGCATTTATAGCATATTCAAAACCCCTCCTGCAAGAAGATAAGACTGAAACTGTGATTGCACATGGTCATACACATTTGTGTAACCTTTCTTTTCAAAGAAAAATTATCTCCAAAAAGGACATATTTATTAATTTTTCAAGACAATAATGAAGTGAGTTTTCTATTAAAAATTCACACACACTTCGTTTTATTTGATCCCACAAATTACCCATATGCAAGCAGCAACCCGAAATTTCGTTTTACTTGAATTGCCCGTCAATATAATTAACGACTAGATTATCCTTAACCCCCTTAACAAGACAAGAATACTCATCGGAGGAATTATCAAGAGGGAGTCGTCATGTACCTGATAAACCCGACAAAGGAGGATACCGGTGGAGTGGAGCGGCCGGAGAAAATGGAGGTGAGTTCTTCTAATCGGCCTGCGGCTGCTTCATGCCACATCTCCGCCGTTCACAAGTTCTAATTCCTTGCTGAAGTTTGGCCAGAAGTTAAAGGTTGAGTGTTTATAGAGTCTGTCAAGGTCGGTGTCGGGCTGAGCATGTTTAGTTTTGACATAACTTATAAAGCCCATCACCACAAGGATCTTTGGGAATTAGAAATATATCATTTCTTTTTTTTTTCTTGCCGCTGTATTTCTTAGACCTATTTTCCATCTTCCCTTTTTTTCTTTCTTTTTTTTTTTTGTTGTTTTCAACACTAAAAGTGAGTACTTTCCGGCTTTCAGCAGCTTTTAATTTGTAGCAAACAAAATGGAGATGTAGATGAGATTATTAATTAATTTGTAAACTCCATTTTTTTTCTTAAGCACAAGATAGGATTATAAAGATTAGATCAAATTCAAAATCTTGGCAAATGGAGTTTATTCCAGAGAAGTAATAATCGAATTTCTGATACAAAGGATCGTCTATAAGACGCAACTGTAGAGCATACTTTTCTCATATTACAAATCGAGCTCTAGAGGGTAGAGACTCGTGCTGATAACGTGTTATAAAACTATAGAGAAAGAGAGATAATAGAGAAAATGTATTCTCTTAGGTACAATTTTCATTAATAGGAAAACTTCTGATGGCACAATCGTAATAATACAATTACATCAGGGGCAAAATAGTCACTCACATATATATATATATATATATATATATTTTATCACCTCGTGATGCATCCACATATATATTATAACAAATAATAATAATAATAATAATAATAATAATAATAATAATAATAATAAGAGATAATTCGCAATTAGTATGTGGAAAATACTTCAAAATAACTCATTTTGTCATAAGAACACCTTACATAAATTGATTACTTTGATCTTTTATTTTCGAGCACTAGAACGAAATCCATTCTTACCACAAGCTATTAATAATATGGCCGTGATCTGTCATTACGTGCGACTATCTTCACTATAGAAGTGAAAAAAAAAAGGGGGGGCTTTCTACATATGCATCGTCTAAAACAACGATTTTTATCAGCTGTAGCAAAGAAAGAAACTTTTAGACTGAAAAGAAAAATGCTACCATACCGACTTAGTATACAATAGGTTGACAATGCAAGTGGAAACATCTAAAAAAAATACACAAGTTGATGATTTCACTTGTATTGTCAACCTAGTATTACACTAGGTTGGCAATGTAGTGTTTCTCGAATGAAAAGAAAAATGTTACTATACCAACTTAGTGTAAAACTAGGTTGACAACGCAAGTGAAAACATCAACTTGTGTATTATTTTATAGATGTTTCCACTTATGTTGTCAACCTAGTTTTATACTAGCTTGGTATACTAGCATTTTTCTTTTTATTTGAGAAATACTACATTGGCAACCTAATGCACAAGTGAAAACATCAACTTGTATATTTTTGAGGAAATTACACCCCCCACGACCCCACAGCATTTTTATTACATATAAACTACTCAACTATATTATTTAGCAAAAGTGCCTAACCTAACTATTTTATTTGTAATCCTACTAGCATCAGTTTCTTTGTTTTGAATTTTTAATTAAGGATGAGTTATGTTTTATTTGGATAGTGGCGGATTTAGTGGGATTTGGTTAGGAAGTTTAAAACAAATTTATTCCTTTCTCTCTCCTCCATTCATAGTTCTCATCCGAACTATTTTCTTCTTCACATCCTCTCATTTCCATGGACGACTACAAATCGCCAACCGCCTTTTCTTCTCCTTCGGCGTCTTTTTTATTTTCTTTTCCTTCTGCAAAAATAGACACTAAACAAGATTCTGATTTTTTTTCAAGGCGAATAAAATCGACATGGACGAGTTGAGTCTCGACGAGAACTTCGTTGAAAGTGAGAGATGGAGTTTCAAAATCCTGGTTGGCGGCCGCTGGTGAAGGAGCATTCAAGCCGGAGATGCGTTGGATCCCTACAGTTCTTTTTTGGGTGGACAGCAGCGACTTCAAGCGGCGTGCACAGAAGATAGTACAGCCCTTTTTCGGTGACGGAGGGTGAGTTGAGGAGGGAGGAATAGGTGGCGGGGTCGGGGGGCGTCCATGGCGGCGGAGGATAACGATTGAAGATAGATTTCCAATTCTCTTTCTCTGTCAGCCATTTTTTTATTTTTCCATTTTCCATTCACAGGGGTTGGAACTGCATATGAATGATCCAGTCCATCCCAAGCCCAAACCAGTATATGTTACACAAAATATACTTTAAATATACACTCGAGTTTCAATCGTTTCTCAAATATACACAAAATATACTTTAAATATACACTCGAGTTTCAATCGTTTCTCAAAATCGATTTCAGAACCCACATATACATAAAATATACCTAAGATATACACTCGAGATCACGTACATGAGACGAGCAGACAAGAAGGTCTCAGGCGATGGTTGAGCAGGTCCAATTGGTTATCTTTTCTTAAATATGGAATATGAAATCAAGATCTGTAACTGATTTTTAGGCAACAATATAATTAATTACTAGCTATTAGGTACATACACAATTAATTGTGTATTAATGGTAATTTTGCAATATTCCTACAATCGTGTAGGATAAGTGAAAATGTCCCTATATTTTTTTAATCGATGTTTCTACTTGCGTTATCAATCTAGTTGTACACTAAGTTGGTATCATAGTATTTTTTTAATAGGCGAATTCCACTTTTATATTCAATTATTCCACATATAATACATAAAATTAATTTCTCATTCGCACTTAAATTAATTTTAAAAATTTTCTAAGTCTTCCACTTACGAAAAATGAAACCGTTGAATCGGTACATAAACTAATTTTTCTTACATGAACTAGATAGATACGAGAAATCCGAAGTAGATCTAAACCCCAAAGTACCAAAGAAACATGAAGGTGAGATCGATGACATCATGACAAAATCTCCAACCACAATCGGCAGTTGGAGAATAAGTAGACCCCTTACCAAGGGTATCTTTAATTGTTATTACAAAATAGTCTAGTTTTCTTTCCGTATCTTATTTTTCTATCTATTTTCCTTCAATGAAATGTGCTGTAAATTGTAATCCACCACCCTAAACTTCATAATGTCTGAAGGCACTGTGCTTCACAATCAAGAGATGTGAGAGTATCCTTCTCCTCTTTACTGTTACTACTATCTGCAACTGCTTTAATCTTGACTGGCTTCCCGAGCTGCGATTTATCTTCAATTTTAGCAATCTCGAGGGCCCGATCACAAACGGGAAACCCTTGATCATCCCATGACTCCAAGATCACACCAGACCCGAGACAGGTCGAATCCTGGTAGAAAGCGGCAAACTGCCCGGCCGCCAGGCCTTGATCGTCTTTGGATAATCTGACAACCCCAATTTCGTGGCCGTTGGCATCGACTTCTTCTAAAGATAAATCACAAGTGTAAAAATCAGGTCCATGCCGAACCTGTTGCAAGGTTTGAAATTTCATGAACACGACAAGCCCAGTAGCGGTGGAAACTGTAATAGCAATTGAACTCTTGTCCCTCCTTTTTTGTGGAGTAGGAAATCGATTCAAAATCTATTATTCCACTGTCAATTAGTTTTACCATCATGACTTTCTACATTCATCACCACCATTTTCTGCTCAAAAGGAAGTTTACTTTGCTTAAGAAATGGGAGTTATTAAATCAGATTCTCAAACTCTTTCGAAATGTATGGATGTTCAAGAAAGTATCTGGAAAGCTTATTTCTTTCACATTTACATTTGGACTAAAGCTGCCACGAGACTGTTGAAAGGGAAATTTGTTCACATCAATTCTAGCACTAAGCTAGCGATAGTTTCTCTTGTGGACCCAACATGTATGATGCATTGACACGTGTCCTAAATGTAATTATTACTGAAAACCTATATCCATGGTTCCATAGCAAGACTCTACATCAAAGAACTCATGGAGAGAGAGAAAAATCATACCTTGCATTGGATTTGAGTGGCCTGCCCTGGAGGAGCACCGTTTAGCCACCTCAAAGACCCAACACGAAATACGCGCCTTCTCTTGTCAACTGAAAAATAATTTCTTGAGACAAATACCACATTATTCTCCACATCTTTCTCCACAACATACCTATACAACAACCAAACAAACGTCAGAAATCTCCACCACTACATGAGAATGAAAGAATAAACAAGTATACTGAATGGCGGTGAAAGTACTCGTGTAAAAAGCTATACCACGGCCCACCAGGAAGACGTAATCCCTGACGTTGACCGATTGTATAGAACCAAAAACCTTTGTGCGTGCCTAGGAAGTCTCCTGTCTCAGCTTCTAATATCACACCTTCTTTCTCCCCAATATGTCTGGCAACAAATTCACTAAACTTTATCTGCAACCCAATAATCCAAACAGAAGATTAACTGCCTTGAAAAGAATACTAAGAGAGTCTTATGTTCAGAGGTACAGCAACTGTTGACATATCCTGAAATGATTAAAGTTTATGTAAACTAGTGACTCGTTAAAGAACAAGATATAACCAGTCAAGTCTTTATATATCAAGTTCAATCACAAATACGCTGCAATTGAACTTCTACTCAAGTATAAAATTGCAGAGTTGTAAATTGCCTGTAGCAAAGCATACCTTTCCTAGAAAGCATATTCCTTGTGAATCCTTCCTATCTTGGTTGGGTAATTCAAATATTCTGGCGAGCCCTCGAACTTCTTCCTGATAATAGACATGGAAGGTATATAAGTGCTAACAAATAAAAGCTCATGCCATGAATAAAACAATCGATGCGAGTGCTTAGAAGTTCATACAAAAGGTCCTACTTGACCTTACGGATGCATCCAAGAGGAAAGAGAAGCCTTTCAAGTTGTGACTGTGAAAGATGTGAAAGGAAGTATGTTTGGTCCTTCACCTGAAATATTCAAACTGTAAAGAGTGAGGACACCAACACACACGCCGCAGCCGCTCATGCACATGTGCGCGCGCACACACATACACGAAGAGAGAGAGAGAGAGATGGTTCAATCTGAAAGAGAGAGAGAAAGAGAGAAAGAGAGAGGAAGAGTAACAAGTTCTACAAAGAGAGAGAGAGAGAGAGTAACAAGTTCTACAAAGAGAGAGATAGAGAGAGAGAGAGAGAGCAAAGCTCGTGCTATTGCAAATGTACCATATCTTTGGACAATTTTAAAGAAGACGACCCATCTTTATCCCCACTATCTGGGTGAACAACCTTTGCGTAATGTCCAGAGGCAATGAAGTCAAACGACATGCCACCTATGGCTTCTACGAACGCACCTGTAATCGAACTCACGAACAATCAATTGATAAATCATGTGATATTGAGTCGTGAAAATATTCGCAAGGGGGAGTGAAAATAAACCAAATTTAATTCTTGTATTGCAGAGCACATCTGGATTTGGAGTGCGGCCATATCGATATTCATCGATAATATATGATACCTAAGACAAAAAAATCATTTAATTATTTTTCTTTTTGATTTATCAACATTTCTTTAAATTGTGGCAAGAATGTAACACACTTAACAACATTTATGCTAGGGATTAATTCATAACCGAAATCATGCTAACTTATCAAATAAACAGCATGAGAAAAGAAAATTATATTTACCACATTATTCCAGTATTCATCAGTTAAATGCACAACTTCCAGAGGTACATCGACCTGCAATACACTAAAGACTAAATTTAGACTCAACTAGAATTACAATAAAGAAAAAGGGAAAGTATTACGGGAACAGCATTAGAGAAAACGGACCTCAAGTCCCATTAAACACAGTTAACAGATGCTGGCAAGACATTTTTTATGTAGATGCTACCATTTACGCAAAAGGATAATCAGGAGCTTGTTTTTGCTGCAAGTTACTGTCCAGGTCTTCAGACACAGCTTAACAGAAGCTTGATTATTGTCTTTGTTTATCTTATCATACCACATGGTTGTAAATGTAAATTTTATCAAAATCAACCATAGGTCAACAGGAAAATAATTAACCGGTAAGTAGTATAAGAATATATTGCAATTTCTTCTAGCTGAAAAATCAATACAAGAGGGTTTACAAGTCCAGATATGGCCAACATAAAAAAAGAAGATGCATACACAAAACCTGATCACAAACAGTTCTTGCATACTTCAAATCTTCTTCCCAGGGGCATTCAGACCAGAAGTTGTCAAAGTCTTCCTACAATAATAGTGGTATCATACAGAGTTATACTGCTTCCTATAGCAAGACGAATAACTAAAATGCCACGAATTCAGTGATATGAAAGACAATGAGTGAATTCCGCTAGATTGCTTGAGAATGAGCTCGATAACAAATGCAAGCATATAGTTTCAGAAAATTCGCAGGCTCGTGACCAATTCATGCCAACTAAACCCAGTAAAAACTTCAAAGAGGTCTTGCCCAAATGACAAGGTTGTGATCAAAGGCTACATCATGAAAAGAAGTCTAGCATTCTGGCCCTTCTGGATGTATCTAATTATTCCTTGATTTCTAGCTGTTAGGTTCAACTTATTTGAGAAATAAAAAATCATAAAAAGAACCCAAATATTTGGTAATAGCAGACCACCATTAGCATACACAACGCTTGGAGGAAGAAAAATAAAAAAACCAAACCGAGATATTTACTATAAGAGATCAAAGGAACAAAATTGAGTACTTGAAACCATATTTTGAGGTAAAATCCGGTGCAGGAATGACCGGCGGCGTGGAGTAGGCGGAGGGCAACGCTGCTGTCAACGCCGCCGCTGATAAGGACCGCCACTTTCAGAGGCTTCCTTTCCGGCAAACAGCACGACAAGTACAGAGGGTCAATCGTCTTCACGGCGGGAGTAATTGATGGTGAAGACAAGGGTTCCGATTCAACAGCCGAGGGGGCGGATAGAGACGACAGCGGCCGGAAATTCGTAAACAACGGTAGAGATTTGGCGGGGTATAGAGAAAGGAAGTGCCTGAGAGCATTAGCGGTAGAGTAGGTTTTGGGAAAGAGGGATTTTGGTGGGAAGTAGAGAGAGGAGAGAGTCGACATGAGTGTTGAGCTCAACGGCATTGTCGTCTAATTCCAGCTATCGTTTCGGTTGATATTTTGAGGAAAAAAAATGTAAGTACATAATAATTGTACATTGATCATAGTTCTTAAACACGGCCAAAAGTCAGGTCACCAGGTCATCGGTTCAATCGCCGGATCACTGGGTCAATTGCTGAACCGGATAATTAATTTTAAAATTTTTAAAATTATATATATAGTATTTTTTACATATAAATATACATAAAAGCAACAAAAATAAATATTTTGTATACAAAATTTGTACATTTAAGTGTTAATAATATTGATCTCATAATAAATATTTACTATATCATTATATTTACATAAGTTTATTTTTTATATAAAGAAATATTAAAAAAATAAAAAAATTTATAGAGACCTGGTAAACCGGATTGACCTGGCCGGGTCAATGGCCCGGTTCGACCATCCAGACCTACTACGCCCGAGCCGCATCCCCGGGTCAAGGCTGGGTTGATCGGGTTTTGATCGGGTTTGACCGGGTCCATTGTTACCCAGTCCAAATAGCTCACCAGAACCGATTTCGGCTCCGAGTCGACCTGCCGGGCCGAGTAGGGTAAAAAAACAATGACATGGATGTATATATAACACTCACATGGTGAGGTGCATTTGATTTTTTAATTTGGCCAATCCCACTCAACGTGAGTGTTATGTACCCTCTATGTACAATATTATTTACCTATAGTATTGAGGAAACACATAGTAGTATATTCGGCTGGCGTACATAATTAATGAAAACTAGGTAAAATTGAAAACTTTTTCCAAAATTTTAATGAATTTTTAAGATTTACAAATTATGGTGTGATTAATTAAAATAACGGTACAATCGATTCAAACACTGAACCAATGAACCAGTAGTTTAACCAATTCGATGACCGATCCGGTTTGATTAAAACCACCCTTGCATTCCTATGGTATCCGCAAACCATCTCGCGCTCACTGGGCCCACCATTTCCAAATTTCATCGCAGACAACAAAAGCAAAATGAAACAAACAGAGGCGAAGAGAACAAGAAACTAGAAACAAAAACTCACACTCGCTCACAGTCACAAGATCCACCGCCGTGAAAAACGCCACCGACGGAGATGGCGTCCTTGGCCTTCACCTCCTCCCTCAACCTCCGCCCACGCCCCCTCTCCGCCCCGAAACTCCGCTCCCCAGCCGCCGCCCCCAAATCCCTCCGCCTCACTCCACGATACAGATCTCCCATCGCCAACACCCTCCACAATCCCGAAAACCCCCTTATCGAGAATCAAACTCAATTCGCCAACCAAAAGTCCGCATTTCTGTTCCCCTCCTCTAAACACGCGCCGTTGACTGTCGCCTCAGCCTCTCCGCCCGCCTCTCCGCCCGCCCACCCTGCTCCTCAGCCGTGGCAGGGAGCCGCCATCAAGCCGCTCCTAGCATCCATCGCGACTGGAGTCATTCTTTGGTTCTTACCCGCTCCTAACGGCGTCTCGCGCATCGCGTGGCAACTGCTCTCGATCTTCCTAGCCACAATCGTTGGGATCATTACCCAGCCTTTGCCACTCGGGGCCGTAGCCTTAATGGGCCTGGGCGCGTGCGTCCTGACGAAAACCCTCACGTTCGCAGCCGCGTTTTCAGCCTTCGGTGACCCTATCCCGTGGCTGATTGCGTTAGCCTTCTTTTTCGCCCGAGGGTTCATCAAGACCGGGTTAGGCAACAGGATCGCGTACCAATTCGTCTCCCTATTTGGAAGCTCTTCTCTAGGGCTAGGCTACAGTTTGGTTTTTAGCGAAGCCCTTCTGGCCCCAGCAATACCCTCAGTCTCGGCCAGAGCTGGTGGGATTTTCCTGCCGTTGGTGAAATCCTTGTGTGTGGCCTGTGGTAGTAATGTGGGTGATGGGACTGAGAACAAATTAGGCTCTTGGTTGATGCTCACATGCTTCCAGACATCTGTGATCTCGTCTTCCATGTTTTTGACGGCCATGGCTGCAAATCCTCTGGCAGCTAATTTAACGGCCAGCACAATTAACATGCCAATTGGTTGGATGGACTGGGCTAAGGCAGCAATAGTGCCGGGTTTAGTGTCGTTGGTTGTGGTGCCATTGTTGTTGTACGTCATTTATCCACCGACAGTGAAAAGTAGTCCCGATGCACCCAAGCTTGCAAGGGAGAGGCTGGAGAAGATGGGGCCCATGTCGAAGAACGAGATCATCATGGCTGGGACACTGCTTCTTACAGTACGTGAAGCTCAATGTTCTATCGTTGATTATATATTTTATTATTCTTGTCAATGCTCGTCATTCTCTTAATTTTTAGTGCTTGATTTTATATTTCGATTTGTTACTAGAATTTTTTTAATGTTGCTTGTTTGTTAGTGGTGGTGCAAATATCCGGCTTTCTATAATGGCTTGTACATATTCTTTTTGTGCTGGGGTTACTTAGCTCTCTATTGATTGGAAGTGGAGGTTTTGCATTTTCAAAAGCTGGGAAAACTAATTAGAGTAGCCATATTTTGAAGTTTTGTGTTGAGTCTTGCTTAAGTGACTGCACGCTAAAATCATCAATCATTCTGTGGTATATCATCCAGTAGTTGAAAGGTAGTATTTTACTGAGGTATATGTCTCTCCCAGTTCTGTTAAATGTTTGAATGCAGAGAAATTGTGGTCTCATATTGTCAAATAAGAGGCTTAATCGAGAAAAAACTATTCATTCTTTAAAGCTTGTTTCCAGAATGTCAGAACCCTCTGCAGAAACTAGAAATACATATTTATGAACAAATTGTCCATTTACAAGGCTAAGACTTAATGTTGATTGTGTGGATGAATAAGTAACTTGAAAATGTGTTGTTCCATTTAAAACCGAAAATGAGAACCCTCTGTATTTGAGCTTGCTTCTTCTTCATCCCATAACAAATATAGTTGTTCCTAATTTATTTATTGGTCCATGCAAACTTGCACAGAGATTTACCTTGATCTATTTTATTCTGGGGACAAAAATCAGGTAGGGCTCTGGATTTTCGGAAGTGTCTTGAACGTGGATGCAGTAACTGCAGCAATTCTTGGGCTATCTGTACTCCTTGTAACTGGGGTTGTAACATGGAAGGAATGTCTGGCTGAGGCAGTTGCCTGGGACACCCTTACTTGGTTTGCTGCACTCATTGCAATGGCTGGCTATCTTAACAAATACGGTCTTATTTCCTGGTTCAGCCAAACTGTTGTTAAGGTACAATGACTTCTTAATGATGTTGTGCATAGGTAGGTGTTAGTTGTTACTACAGGTGAAATTTGCTGTTAATTTGGCCAACAATTTGAAGTATGGTCTCTAGAAGCACAAATAGGGAAAAGTGAAGGGGCTGTATTAAAACTAAAACTGGAAAGGGTAATTAACTTGGAATTATATAATGTACGTCGCAGAGGTTAAACCTTTACGGTTTATTTCTGTTGTGGTCCCTGATACAGCTGCCTAAGACAAGAATGTCTGGATTCAAATTGAAAAAATCACAACTTATGATTATAATTTTCTTATTTATTTATTTTTTTTTCTCTTTCGAAAAGGAGGATCAATAGTGTTCCCACTTCCCCTCCTCGGTGACTCGAACCCATGACCTATATCGGTCATAGGTGAAGCGTCTTACCACTAAGCTGCGCTTCGTTGTCGTATAATTATCTTATTTTCCCAGTCGACTCTCTGCTACAAGTGATGTTTATTAAAAGTTCAGAATGTGAAAAATGGTTTTGTGTGCTTATGCTCAAATTCAACTATTGCGAATTTTATTTTTTCAAATTCAACTATTGCAAATACATATGAAGTCGAAGTTTCTACATCTTACCCTGAATCATTGTCACGCGTGACATGATAATCTCTTTCCATCTGTCTGTGAACAAAAGCCTTGTACATCGAAATAAATTGGAAATTTGTTAATTAATGCCTCATAAAGCAGTTGAGGGTATTATCTCTGTTGAATACCGTCAATGGTTGAAAAATTTACGACCTCATTGCATCTTTTTTTTTTTATTATTTTTTTTCCATTTTCCTTGCAGTTTGTTGGTGGATTGGGTCTCTCATGGCAGCTATCATTCGGCATTCTTGTTCTTCTCTATTTCTACTCCCACTATTTTTTCGCCAGTGGGGCCGCTCATATAGGCGCCATGTTTACAGCTTTCTTATCCGTGGCAAGTGCTTTGGGTACTCCACCATATCTTGGTGCCGTTGTTCTATCCTTCCTTTCCAATCTCATGGGCGGCATTACCCATTACGGGATTGGGTCAGCCCCCGTTTTCTACGGGGCTGGCTATGTGCCACTTGCAAAATGGTGGGGCTATGGCTTCTTGATTTCTATTGTCAATCTTGTAATTTGGCTTGGAGTTGGAGGGCTCTGGTGGAAGACCATTGGCTTGTGGTAGGCCATCTCCTAGTGGATTTTTTTCTTTTTTTTTTTGGTTAATTACAAGAAATGCTCCCGATGTTTGGTGAAATTACAACAATATTGTTGTCTAGAATTGCTAAATAACCCCTTCAGATTTGTCATTGCGTAAATACAAAGCTGAAGGGGGTACTCTGTCATTGAGTTGAAACTTTAGTTTAGGGGCGATTTATTATTTATTTTTGGATGTTAGATTTTGGTCTACATCATTTTGGAGATTAAATAGATTATTGGGTTGCTCAACAGCACTATTGTAGCTGGCTATTGAAGGCTTTTTATGTAGAACGGAGGTTTTGGGAGCTTTATTCGTGAAGAGTTGTAGCATGAGTTGATTTATAGGTCAGGCTATTTATTGGTGAAACTCAAATGTTTTGCAATTGGAATTTATTTTTGATTCAACAATGTATGTTTCATGACTTCATCTTCAATTATGTGATTTTTTTGCCCCAATTTTCTGAGATATATATATTGGCCTAATGCACGCTGTAGGGTGTGATAAGGCTATTCGTCATATTTATTACAACACCATTTTTTTTTTTATTTTTTTTATTATTATTATTTTTTTTTTGGTGGATGCGAGTATTACTATTTAAAGCAGTCCGTAGTCATTGAGGACAAGGATTCTTGGAGTCTTAATATCTTAAATTTAGGAAATATATTCATAACCGAATAATATATGACAATTCATGTAGGAGTCCAAATCGAAGTGTTCTGCTGCCAAAGGTCAATTTCATTCATTGTACTGAATTATTTTAGGATATTGACCGCTACATAAATGCACATCTATAAATTTGAGAAACTAGCAAAAGGAACAATAATTATCATAATTGGTTGCAATAATTTGGTTTCACAAATCTGTTGTTAGGTTGCCTAACATCCCTACTTTTTTTAAAAAAAAATACATACTTATATTACAAAATGTTATACTTTTGTGCATAATATTATTTAAAGTATGACATTTGAGTGTGAAACATATAATTTTGTTGAAAAAGTATAGTTGCAGAAGCATTAATGGCATGATTGGTAGGAAGGAATAACATGAGAATGGAATGATCATTCCCTTACTCATTCCTAATCCCATGATTGGTATATCTTTTGGGAAGGAATGACCATTCCAATGGGAATGGCAAAACCCATCTCCATGGATTAACCATTCCATAGTAAATGGAAGGTTTTCTCATTCCCATGTGTGTAGGAATCAACTTTTCAAAAAATAAAATTAACAAATAATAATAAAAAATAAATATATAATATATATTATAAATCATGATTAAAAGATATTAAATAAAATTATTTTTAAAAATAAATTCAAATAAAAAAATTAAAAACTTACTTTTATTTATATTTTAATTAGATATATTAAATACTTATATAAAAATAAAACTAAAAAAAACATTTATATATATTTTAAAAATATATTATTTTATTTATATATATTATTAAAAATATATTATTTTTTA